GTTACTTGGACCTGCCTCGGCATCTGATACAAATTCTGGCAGAAGTCTGCGATGATCTGGGGCTTTCCGAGCGTATTCGCGGTTAACGCATGAATATGCAGTACGGCAACGTGACGCCAGTCGTTCGTGAGGCCCATGGCACAGAGGACCACACGGGACGTTATCGAAGCTGGCCTTGAACACACGAATAGCTCCTGTCAAGATTCGTGTCGGGCCAAGCCATGCGCGTCGAGATGACTGGGTGGCCATCACGGGCAGAGAAAAAGAAACTAAAGCGATGGAACGTCAAGCTATACGCTGTCAAGCGTAGACAGTCATTTCCGAGGAGAAAAATTACAATATTGTAAAAGGATACACATTTTTATGAGTTCATATGCATGTTTCTAAACATCGAATACACACTGCAGCAGAATGAAAAGAAAGGATAGTTCAACACAAGCAAGTGTATATTTTGCAGGTTAATTCAGCTCTTGCAACTACTATCTGGGAGTGGAACTTTGTGAAATCGACGGGCCTTCCCGAAAAAATGGGAACACTTCTGCACGTTCATACTGATCATTAGCGATTTACTTCAACACCATCATGGAGTATTAAGAGGCGCGTATTAATAGTTAACATATAGCCTTCTGTTCATTCTCTCCTCTTCTCGTCCCAAGTCAGGAAACCATGAACATTCTGCTAAATATAAACCATAAAATCGAGGCTCTCCCGGGCTCATTATGATTAAGAAAGCTTTGGTTTGAGGTAAGACAAAAACGTAATTACACTGGTTCAGTTCACTTATGCGCTTTGTAACACCCACTGCAATATGAGAGGTTGCATTTTCTCTCAAAATGTTTTTGGTGGTTCAATACTTGCGGAGCTTCTAATCCACCTAACCTTGTGCCAATCGAAGTTCTGTTTTCGCTGACGTCTGAATCGACCACAACACTTCGATGTATCGGAAAAAGGATGTGCTGACGATCCTATTAGGCAGAACTTGTATTCAGACAAAAATTTTGCTTTAGCACGATTCGCTCGAAACAATTCGCAAAGAATGTTTTGCCATGCAAATCGATATTCCCTCTTCGAAGCGAGCCGTGAGAATGGCAACGCAAGACAAATTCAAATCGGTGAGACAGCTGTGGCCACTCCTGGAAGTGGATGTAATTGCGAGGGCGGCCCGAGCCAACAGGAAAAGGCGGTAAATGGTTTGTGAAGAATGCCACACGATTTAGGGCTGCGGGTTACGTTCGCTCCTTGGTGAAAAAAAAAAAGTTATTCGTCAATTCTCTCTTGTGCAGCTAAGACGCAGTTATGGTTGAGTTGTTCAAAACAGTGTTTTTTTTTTCGCGACTCCTCATATGACGTGAGCGATAAAATGTTGCGAATAAAACAACACGATTCGCGAATGAGCCCGCATCATTTCCTAAGATCGACACGGCAGCTCCGTGGGACCTTGCGTGCCACTGCTGAGCGAAGAGGTCACGGGAGCATCATCCGTCACTGAAACGAGGCGCATCTTTCCGTCTCAATTAACGATGCCCGGATAACAATGAGAACGGTCCCTTAATTGAATCGCGTCAACAGCGTCGCGGGACGGTGGGCGTGCGTATCCCTCCTCACCGGTGGCCAACGTGCGGGTGTACTCCGGGTGCTCCACCACGTAGTCGAGCCCGATGCGGAGCTCCATCGCGGCGTCGTCTTCGTGTCCCGATATCCGGACGTCCAGTCGTTCGAGCCGTTTCGTGAGGTACTCGTCCCGCCGCGGCGACACACCGCGCCCACCACCGCAAAGAGCAGGTAGGTCGCCCACGACCAGACCGCTCGAAAAGCCCCCGCTTGCACCGTTGCTGCGCCAAGGCCGCCGCGGGACGCGTCATCGGGTACTCCGCATATATGGACGCAACAGCCGCCGAACGCCGGCGCCGACCATGCCAGCGGAGCCCCGCCGCCGCCAGAAAGAAAACCCACCGTCGACCTGTGCCCGTGGATACAAGCGCGTGTAACACACCCCTCCCCCATTCCCTAGCGCGTACAAACGGCCGTGTGTACGTAAAGGGGGAGCGGAAAAAAGCGACAAGATTTGGATGCGTGCGAGACCACCCGTGCGCCCTTACCCGGTCGCCCGACTTCCTCTTCGCTATGCACAACGCTGTGACCCTCGGCGATAGGGCAGCTCGTCGTAATTACCCCCTTAGCGCGAGCAATTAGCAGTCGATACCAATGTCGGTGAATTAAGAGCCGCGTACACGGTGTATCGCGCATGATTAGCGGGCGAGAGGGAAAAAGGAAATACGCAAGACCCGCTCGTAAGGGAGCAGTGAGCCGGCAACAATAATGCGACTGAAGGTTGCGGTGGAGAGGGTACAGGGTCATGACGACCGACAATAGCCGGAAAAAAAAAATGGCGTTCTGACCTTCTTCTAAACGCTCACGATAATCTACGTCTTGATCTTGAAAGTGAATAGATGCTCCCGAGTAAGTTGGCAGCCGCCGTCTACTTCCTTCCTAGCAGCTGGCAAACAAACGTGTGAGCCATGCCCAAAAGCTACGACCATGAAATACGGAAAACTACTCAGAAAATGAAGAAGATGTAAATAAAGACTGCGCATACAACTCGATCGACTCGCAAACTGAACAGTTTTGCCACCACAACGTATACGCTGTGTGGATCGTCTGTGCAGCTTCTGTATACCACTGAAACTGCGAGACTTTCACTCAACAAAATGAGCATCTTCTCATACTTATATGTGCACTTCCATGACTTGGGCAGTACATAAAGTTGAGATGGCAATATGTATTCAGAAGCGCACAATACCACTGCATTGAGGCGGCGTATCTACATGTTGACAACATAATATACCCGCATGAACATGGATTTCGAAAATGCCTATCTACTCATACTCAACTCGTTTAGCTTGTTCAAGATCTCTCCTCTGAAATTAACTCGCGAATTCAGGTTGATATAACATTTTAGATTTTGCAAAAGCCTTGGACATAGTGTCGCATGCTGAACTATTATTAAAAATAAACGTGATTGTTAAAACCCCGAACAGCAGTGGTTTTTCTCCTATTTGTTTAGTAGCAAGCAGTACGTTCAAGTAAGCACAAAAAATCTGCCTTTGTTAATGTTGTATCTGGAGTCCCCCATGTAGCGTCTCGGGCCCGCTACTATTTTTTATCAACAATTTACCCAAAGGTATTTCAGTCCCCATAATATTTCTTGCCGATGATTGTGTAATGCATATGAGACAGTCAAATCTTCTTCTGATCAATTATAACTAAATGTAAACGCCCAGAAAATATACAATTGGCGTGTTATGTGGTAGATGGACCTAAACGTCACAAAATCAGTAAAAAAGAGCGTAACCAGGAAAAAGACGCATTCTACGTACGAAGTACTCTATAAACGATCATGAACTTGGCAGAGTCGAACAGCACAAATATTTCGGTTTATTGATAACTTCCGATCTGCGGTGAAATTCGAACAGACTCAGTTTGTACTAAGGCTAAAAAAAAACATCGTGGAGACTTTGGAGAAATCTGCGCTATACCAGTCCGGAAATCAAATGCCTGGCTTGCAAGGTACGGCCAATTATACCGTGTGCAAAGGTGGTATGGGATTCGTAAACAAAAAGTAATTGCACTAAGCTAGATAGAATACAGAGATTGGTGTCACGTTTCACATTCAATAAATATCAGTGTTTCCACTCCCAAACTCAGCTTTGTAGGCTAGCCTAGCCTCAACAACTAGAAGAAAGGACCGAGTATAAAAGGATTGAATTGCTATATTTAAGAAATGAGTAAAAATAGATAAATCAAAATATTTACGTATGAAAACTGGGTAAACATCAAGGCACTGGCATAACGTGCATTCCTCCTCCCAGATCAAACAACGATTAAGTTCAGTTTTTTTTTTTTTCACGGGCGAACAGCGAATGGAATAGGCTGCCGGATTTTGCAGTCTTATCTGAATGTGTGTCTTCTTTCTTTAAAAAAAATAAAGCTAACTGACGTCGTGTTTGAAGATGTATACAGTTCATTTTTTGTTTGTTTTCTGTGCTGCAGGGTAAAGTGCTGTGGCGGTTCCTTGTCATTCATACCTATTTTTATAGGGAGTTTCTATTTTTTCTTGTGTGTGTGTGTGCGTGTGTGTGTGTTTCACCTCTGTTATAGCCCAATGATGGGGCTGACAGCCTAATAAAATGAAATTAAATTGACTGCACAGGACGTCCGTTCAACCGTGCCGCAAGTAAAATCAATCAGTGTTGGTTTCGTTGCAAGTTCACGGCACTGAAAATATAGAAGCACATGTCGTCATTCCAATATAGATAGTGCTCACCCTCATTGGACCAACAGTAAAAGTACAGCCGCGGCCACGTCTATGTAGAGCACTCGAGCAGCCGGTTTTTGCTCTGCCAGCCAAAACCTTGAGGCAGTTTCAGGCTCTTAAGTGATGTATCAGGAGCATGCACGGCCTATCAGGCTGATCACATCAGAGCCTGATACTACCCCAAGGTTTCACCCCGCAGAAAAAAAAAAAAAAACGGTTGTTCGCGTGCTCTACACAGATATGGCCGTGGCTGTACATCATTGCAAATTTATTTTAAAGGAGATCCATCCATCCATCCATCCATCCATCCATCCATCCATCCATCCATCCATCCATCCATCCAACGAAATTCATTTTTGGTTTAAACCATACAGTATTTTACCGTGAAAATGAATGGACACGCACACATCCATCCATCCATCCATCCATCCATCCATCCATCCATCCATCCATCCATCCATCCATCCATCCATCCATCCAACAAAATTCATTTTTGGTCTAAACCATACAGTATTTTACCGTGAAAATGGATGGACACGCATCCATCCATCCATCCATCCATCCATCCATCCATCCATCCATCCATCCATCCATCCATCCATCCATCCATCCATCCATCCATCCATCCATCCATCCATCCGTCCTTCTATCCGTCCGTTCATCCATCCGTCCTTCCGTCCATCCATCCGTCCGTCCATCCATCCGTCCGTCCATCCATCCATCCATCCATCCATCCATCCATCCATCCATCCATCCATCCATCCATCCATCCATCCATCCATCCATCCATCCATTTATCCATCCATCCATCCATCCGTCCATCCATCCATCCATCCATCCATCCATCCATCCATCCATCCATCCGTCCGTCCGTCCGTCCGTCCAACAAAATTCATTGTTGGTCTAAACCATACAGTATTTTACCGTGAAAATAGGTGGTCAAAGAGTAAGAGCGATTGCGCATGTAGTGAGTCACGTAAGCAGTGTAGCCGGTACACACACTTGCGAGCGACATCCCCAGGGTGTCAAACTTTACGCTTCAGCCCGTGCGGCGCAGGATACACGTGTCGCAAGGGAGGGCGCCCATCTACGTAGCGTAAAACAACATTAGCATGTGTGACGCACTTCCCTGTGGCGGCTTGGTTTCAGTATTACGCGCAGTTCAGCGACCCGTCGCCTGGAGGTCATAGTATGAGCCTCCGGCAAATTAAACAAGTTTCCCTGTCCTTCTTTTATCTCTCTCTCTTCCTGTATTAAGGCAGCAACTTTGTTGAATTTTCGTTTTGCCTTCAAACGTAGCAGAAATGATGGGAGTTTGTTTTATTCACTCGCTTCACTGTCTCGCCTCCGGAGCAGGACTTTGATTTGGGCCATGGTACATTATTAGCTGGGGAAGAACAGCGCGAAAATGGCGAGGGCACAGAAACACAGAAACATAGTATACACACACGAGTGCTCGTCTTTTTCGCGCTATTTTTCTTCGCCTTCAGAACCTTACCATTGTACACGCATGGTTATCCTGTCCTGTATGCCGGCGAAATGCTGCGTGCAAAATTCATTTTGCCGTTCCTCCCGTATAGCTGCTTATAGAAGCACGAATTCGACGTGAAGCCACTACGATAACGACATTCATTCATTATTAGCCTACGTGCTTTCTGTGCGCGTATTTGTTCTAAGTTTGAAATTTTTAAGGGACGTCGTATGCTATCGTATCTATAGGCGTAAAGCAGGCATAGACATTTGAGCGCGCGCTCGCACTTTAACGAAGTCTTCTTCCTCTTGTCCTTTGAGCGACTTGACATGAATAGCAATAAAGAGAAAACTGCAGAAAAAAACTGAATAACAGAAAGGAAGAAAGAGACGGGAAAAATCACAGCATATCCACGGAGTGAATGTTGACGAGTGGGGCGAAGCGTTCGTCCGTTCCTCCGTGTATCAATCCGTCCGCGCAAAGAAGCAAAGAAAGCAATTCTGGGCCGATTTGCCTGAGTGTATATGAGTCATATTAGAGGCCTCATCATCGTCGTCATCAAAGCTGCCCAGCGACGCTTTCTTGGCCAATCCCACAGAGTGGATATGTGCGGCAATATAGAGGAATCAAATTAAATCAGCTCCACAATTTTTTCAGACTATTGCGAGCTGCCTCATTAATTTTTTTCTAACTTCAATGCTCAGTATATGGCGAGACTGTTACGATTCGGGCACCTCCCGCCAGAAAGCAACACTATGTATAATGTCTATGACTCCGGATATCTGCATGGCTGGCGAGATCCTGCAGCGTCTACCGGTTGCAGCGTGTTTCAAAATGTGCTCTTCCTGAAAATACCGGCGTAGGTGCTGCGAGATCGTTGAAGCGAACGCTTGGCTATGCCTACACACCCCTTCTGCTTCCAAGAGTTGTACTCGTACTGTCCTGTATGCAGGAGGGAAAGGAAAGGCTCGGGACATCCCCTGCCCCTTTCCGCTACGTTTAACCACCAAGACAGAACTTTATTGGAATTTAAATTTGGTAAACTTACTTGTGCATGGATCGCCCATTCTTCATGTTGAATAGTTAGACAGTATTCGAGAAGTATTCAATGTATGCGTACTTAAGGTTTAACAGCACGAAAAAAAAAATATACACGGCGGACAAGAAAAGGATGGGACAAGCACTGCCGCCGTGTATTTTTTCGCACGAACGGCGAACAGAAAAAGAGCTGCCGCCGCTTTTCCTGTCCGCCATGTATTTTTTCGCGCTGTTAAACCTTAAGTAGGCTAAACCAACTAGCCCAATCAGTTTCTTTGTTCATGTATGGGGTCCTACATGCCAATGTTATATGATATGATTAGAGTAGGGCTCCGTGTTTTCGAAGCTTTCTTTTCTCGACGTTCGGAGGGTGTTTTTGGCACTTTGTTTTGCGCAGAAGTTCGGCACTTGTCGAGATTTCTTTTTCGTAAATTCCCAATTCTCTGAAATTCTGGGTTCAGTTTTGCATTATTCTCAATATAACAGTATCTTAGATGAAACTATATCTGAACACAACGCCAGAATGATATTTTAGTTGTAAGTAAGGGTGGAACGCATGAACACACATACACAAAAGCACAAATACATGAATACAAATGAGATACGTGTGTGCATATAATAACCTTTAAGCTTGTTGTAACATACGAAAGCATTCTTTACAAGAGGTGCCACCAGAACCCGTGTATCGATATGTCGTCTCGCGTTCCTGGGGGCATTAGATATACGTTCACGTCTCTCGCTTCGTGCGCGACAAGCCCTTTGTCTTGACGTTAGGCAAAGTTTCTATGTGCCACACCAGCGGACGTATAAATGATCGCTTAGAGCATGCCCTTTCGATAAAGAACGGAACTGGGTCACAATAGCCGTTAAAATCGGAGTGCTGCGCCCCCCTCCCTATTAGGTCAATGTATGGGGCAGATTTTACGCCCCCTTCTTACGTGGCTAGGAGGGTGGCCCGCCCTTTAGAACATGTAAGGTGCAGGTCTTGCGCCCCCCCCCCCTCTTAGGTGACTAGGGGGTGAGGGGGGCTACCGCCCCCTCACAGACCTCCCGATCAAGCGACCGGGCTCAAACTAAATTTGAAATTCGCGGTTCTAGTTCACACAGTACTTTACTGCCATCTGTACTTCACTATCGTCTTTATTTTGGCTTTCAAGATCGGCATTTTAAACAAACGTCTTGGAGGATGTAATTTTGTCCGTTGCTTATTTTCACGTCACCTGTTTTCCCGTCAATCTACAGTGTACTAGAATAGGGTATGTACTACACTGTACGTCAATCGGACATTCCGGCTTATTTTAACGTCGTCTCTCTTTTACTGCACGTGGAGTCGCTTGTTTCGATTCTGTGAGGTGTCGGCTGGTAGTCCACGACGGATGCGAAGACATCGACTCCTTTGCCTTCGCAGCAATACATGAGTGCACTCTACTACACGCGTGAAGCAAAAAAAAAGGGCGTAAATCATGCCGCCAAAAGTAAAAAACACCAAGTGCGACTTTTTGCAGTGTGATGCCTGTGGTGTGATCGTAACTTCCAAAGATAGTGCCTTGCACGAGCGTGTCTGCTCAAGATGCAAATTTGAGGGCGAAAATTTAGAACACGACTTCATTCACGACGGCGTTCTGCATGGTACTCTTCAAGATTATTCAGGTAACAGGATTATCTACTCTACCGACATCGAAAGCCGTGGGACAACTGTGCGTGTGTATGTGTGGAACCAGTCAGTACCTCTTATGTTTCCCCGGCAAGCTTGCATGAATGCGTTGTCCACAGCGTACTATTGAAGCTGGAGCCCTGGATTTCATCTCGTCTAAAATCGTAATAGTTACATGAAGTAAAAAATGATTGTTTTATCACACTAGAACAGCATTTTTTAAGCACTTGTACGCGCAAACTGCGGCAAACACAGGGCTACTTTCGGGGCTATTGAAGCTTTGGAGTGACACAGGATTATGTGCTTCTTCTTTAGAAGTTGGTGTTTATACTTCGTCTTTATACAGGCGCGTTTTCATTCTTTACTCCTGAACCATACTTACATACTAATCTGTGTTCTACATTCTTTTTTATAACAGCACCCGCCCTGCGTCATGTTCTCTGTGCCTAGTTCTCTTAGCGCTAATCACCAATTTTAAACACTTCATTGTTAGTTTTGTTCGTTGCTCTGTGTTTCATGTTCTCAGGGTGTTTTTAACAGTTTCTACCACTGTTTACGCATTACCGTGTTGTTGTCATAATTTTGTATCTCTTCGTATTTATTTGTACTCAATTTCTTACAAGAGGCTTCCTTTGAACCATGTGCTATGAAACCTTCTGAATGAGCATTCCGTGCTCTGTGTATTATTCATGAGAAAGGAAACATTGATTGATTGATTGATTGATTGATTGATTGATTGATTGATTGAAGCTTTTCTTGCTGGCTGAAGAAACCGTGTGCCTTTATTTGCTTCAACTCCTCCCATCAGGTGACGAGACATTGACAGTGCCTGAGTGGATGAAGTCTCAGCTGTTGTATCTCCACCCGTCGTGCATGAAGATGTGTAGCACGGGAATCAAGGACGTCGTGGAAGTCTCGCAGGGGGGTCAGACACATCTGCTCATTGTGTGGCCATCAACCAATGTTGGTCTGACTTGTGTGGCTATGTCCAAGCGCTACAGAACAAGCAAGTCCAAAGCAGTTACCGTAAAGAGGCACTGCAGCTCTGTCGTAGCTGCCAGCAGCGTTACAGTGATCTCGACTGGGGACGCAGTCAAGGAAAGTGATGCGAGCCTTCAGAAATGTCTTTTGCAACAAAACAGTAAGTGTAGTGAACATTACAGGCTTGCAGTAAATCAACTATTACTTATTATTTTTCAAAGAAACAGAAAGCAACTATAGAGGTAAATAAAAAAAGTTTCTTTGACAACCAAGGACAGAGTACCAAATGCAGTTTGAGTAATAAAAATCAATCAATCATAAGGGGAACTTCAAAACACACTTAGAAAATTTTGTTTATGAATGTAACTTCAATTTCAGTTTTATTTTGCCCATATATTAATACATACTAGCCAAGGAGGCTGTGGTAAAAGTTATATTTATAGCTGGATAGGGTCATGCAATTACCTCGCACAACATGACATGTGCAGACATTGTCAAATATGATTCAAAACGGACAGAAAAAATGCAAGGTTGTATCATTCTTAACTACAAATGAAGCCAGAAAACGTCGAAATAAAAAAAGCAAGAACAGCAGAAACAGAGAGCAGAGGTGTGCCTCTGTTTCTGCCGCTCTGCTTTTTTTCTGATTTCGACGTTTTGTAGCTTCATTTGTAGTTAACTGAGTATGTACCAACTTGTCCAACAAGCTACTCTCTTGTATCACTCTCATGTCACAATATACAGTGAATTAAGAGTGCTTAAGTTATTCAATGCAAATTTTTGATAAGTTAAAATGACTAGGAAGAAGGGAAATGGACCAAATTGGTAGCAGAACCAATGTCTTTGGAGAAGCTAAAAACCTCCTTACACTGGAAACTGTTCATTGAGCTCGTAGTCCTTAGATGTATGGGTGTTCATTTTCTTGTGTACGCAAAACATTTATTGATGGCTGCTATTTAACTTGAGCTGGAAGAACAAAAACAAGGACAAAAACTGGGGGAAAATACAAGCACAGCATAGGGATGTGAAGGCTTTAAAAGAAATCTGATGTACTGAAAAAAAAAATTTTAAGTTTGACAGATTCAGTGTGTGGATGTGGTACTACAGGGTACATTAACAGAACAGTAACATGGACAAAAGCAAGAGAAGCTCCTTGTGAGGATATACAAAATGTACTTCTAACAATTCTTAACTCTTGACGCCGTCTACTTGGAGGCAAGAGAGCTGCTTATGAAAGATCAATTGAAATAGTCCGGAAAATGTAAGATTGAGAAACTTGTTGGTTAGATCCCAGTTTTAGCTATCAGAAGCAAGTTTGCAATCGTGCTACCTAGGCAATTATTGTGAAATATTTACATCATTAACACAAACCTAAATCATTTCAAGTATAATAGGTTACACTCCATCCTCATAACATGTTCATGTAGCTAGCGATAAAAGTTCATGAAGTAAACATATGTGAGTATTGGCATGCTCACATATGCCTATGCTGCTCATAAACTGTAGAGTTATCCCCCAACTTGTTTCCATAATGTGGTTGTACATCTTAGGCCGAAACATGTTGTATCTGAATGTTCTGACACAACTGGATTTCTTCTATCAATCTTTTCTTTACCGTCACAGCATCAACGGCACATTAAGAGTAGTTTAATTTTTCTTCTCTCTTCACAGTGGGAATGTTCACGAAGCCTGGATCTTCACTGCAGTGCTGCTTTTACGGCCAAATAGTGAACTTTGAAGTGATCGAAACTCAAGGGGAAGATGGCTCGTTGTTGAATAGTACATCCCGACCCCTTTCGTCTGATATTGATGAGAGCTTAGACGAGAGCATGAGAAGACTTGCGATACATGAAGAGTTAAGCGGCGACCATAGCTTTAAGGCAACGTCTATGTCTCCTCGTTCGAGAACTCCTAAGAGGAATGCTTCATGGTCAGTTCACAGTCCTCTCGCCTTCAGCACGCCGAAGTCACTATTGCACCGTCAGTGTGAAAGTGAGAAAGTGGCATTTCATAGAATCAGGTCTAGTACAGAAATCATCATTAAGTCTGCGGCTGAAAAGGACAGTGAAAGGCCTACATCTGCCAGCTACGATCTCATTGGAGGTCTCGATAAGGAGATACAACAACTTCGAGAACTTTTTGAAGTGCCCATCAAGCATCCTGGGACATTTACTCGATTCGGTGAGTTACATTTTAGGAGGAAGGAAATATTATTTAGTGCATTGTTTGCTGAAGATTTTTTTCTTGTTTCCATAATTCTGAACATAAAGAAAAGCATCTCTTTTTTTACATTTCTCGTATTCTTATTGTGTCCTCAGTGGGCTGTGCAATGTGTCTTGAATTTTAGTCAAGTAGTGAGAGCTACTTATTAGATGAACCAATGCAGTGTGTTGTTTTCTCATAGCATGTGGTTTGCTTTGCTGGTTTAGTCAAAATTGATAAGAGTGTCAAATTCTAGATATAGATATTTTTCTAACTAATGAAAAAAACTCGTATCTTGCTGTGACTTTATAGGCATGGTGACTTGTACTAGAATCCAGTCTCCACTTCATTTGAGTATTTGTGGTCATTTATCCTGCTATTGTTCCCTCATTTGAAAGAGGAGATATGCATAAAGCAGCAGCTGGATTTACTCTGAGTGATGCTTTAATGGGTGTTGACAAGAAAATCTTTTAACTGTTGCTATTTTTTTACATCAAATGAAAGGTCATGTTCTCATTAGGCCTAAAAATGTACTGGTAAGTGCCATTGCACCCTGAAAACATAATTACGACATGTTTTTGAAAGCCAGTCTTGCTTTCTCCTGTATCCTGATGTCACGATATGAGCTTCTCGTCACGTGCTGTTGCAAGATATTATGCAGTTTCTATAACTGCTCCGTATCGTGGCTCCATTGGTGACATGCAACTCACTGTTTTGCATGTTTTGACATCAAGACATTATCACAACCAGCTACATTGGTGTGTGAAGTCACTGGAATTGATACTGTAGCCCGACGTCATGCTAGTGTCAATGTCAGTAGGTGTGTCATGCAAACATTGAGTTTAATGTCGAAATAAGCAAGCTTAGCAATTTTTTGGCTTCACACTTGCTCAAATTAGTCTCTTGGTACAGGAAAGTTGTGTGGTGGAGTTAACTCATGTTGGGAAATCAATACCAGTGCCATTTTGAAGAGTAAGGAGTTAACATGGTGCCAGCAAATTCTTGAAATAGACACACACTCACTTTAGTCGAACACAACTGTAGAAGTCTGCGGCATTTCCTCCTCAAAGGTGGTTGCACTCATAAGCCGGACACTTGATCATAAGCCGGACACCCGATCACCCCGCCTTCGAAGAACTTTGCCGGGTGCATGAGCTGGTCTATTTAGCTCTGCGGTTGCCGTGCTTCAGTCGCCTGGCAGGGCCTCTTAGTGCTTCTCAATCTGTTATCAACTATAGGTGACCTTTAAGTTTGTTGTTGATTACGTGAAGCACGTTCAAGTGCAGCAAAAATTGCACGATTGCTTTTCTATCAGCTCTTTTGTGCTCTCTTTTTGATAAATGTCATGTGCTTGACAGGATTGAAGCCACCGAGAGGAGCACTTCTTTTTGGCCCTCCGGGCACCGGGAAAACTATGCTGGCACGAGCTGTTGCAGCAGAGTCAGAAGCTGCACTCGTTGTGATAGACGGTCCCCAGATATTTAGCAAGTAAGCATTTGCTTACAGTTATATAATCTTCTATTCAGTAACTTTGATAATATCACAGAAACCTGCTTAACAAGCCTGAGAAGTGTTTTCTTTTGTGTAATATGTGTGTTTTAAAAGGGTACCTACACAGTTTTTTTTTTTTTTTTTTTTTGCCGAATGAAAGGTCAAGTTCTCAAGGGCCTAGAAAATTCACCGGTAAGCCTGAATCCCCCTGAAAAAGCAATTATAGTATGCTTTCAAAAGCTAGGTTTTGGTTCCCGCTGTACCCAAACGTCACAACAGTGTGTAAGCTTCTCCTCATGTACCAACACAAGATATTGTAATGTTTTTATGGCCACACCGCTCTGTGACTCCAAGGCTGAGTCACAAGCAGCCATTTTGAATATTTCTGGTGATGCACTAGCAACCATATTGAATGATTTGGAACCTGAAATCATCTTAACTAGCCATACAAGAGCACGAAGTCACCAGAATTGGCGCTGCAGCCTGATGTTATGGTTGTGTTGAGTTTAGTAGGTGCGGCTTGCGGAAAAATCATATCGGCATTTACTGAGCTTCACACTTGCTCAGAGCAGTTTCTGTATACGGAAGATTAGCATGGTAGATTTTAACATACGTTCCAAAGTTGGCATCAGTACCTCTTTAACAAGCTTGAGAAACATGTTCTTCTGTCTGATATTTGTATTTTAAAAATACTACTGAAGGAATATGACATGTGTGTAGGCTTCCTTCCATTGATTTATTTTCAAAATATCATTAATCAACTTACCCAGAAGCTTATCTTATTGATGTTTGTATTCACAAATGCAGATACTATGGAGAAACTGAGGCCACGTTAAGAAGTTTATTCAAGGATGCTGCCGAGAGGTACGACAATATGAGATATTGTCAGTGTTGTTTTTGAGCACAGGTGCTAGCAACTTGCTGGATCTGCTGTACATGTACTTCTTGTGTATTCAAGTTCTTTTTTTCTCTCACATATTGTGCTGGGCTTGTTTTTGGAAGCTTTGATTTTACCTATTGTTAATTCCATCTACAGCACTAGGCAGACTAGAAAAAGGAGACGAAATGTATGATTCGTCACAGTCCTGTCGAATTTTTTTTTCTGCTTTGACTTTACAGCGTGGTATTTCCAAAGTATTGGTTGCACTCTAGCTTATAATGAAAATCCGTTTTTTTTTCTCATTATTTAATTTAAAACTTCTAAATTAGCTGGCATACAAAGAAGCGTAGAGACATAACATGTATTTAAAAAGTCCAAATAACAAAAACACTGTTGCCCAGTCCTCTTCTGTGTGTGTTGTTGTCTTCATGGTTTTTATATATGAACTCAAGCCAACTGGCCCGACTCTCCTTTTTGCTTATTGAAATAATGTACAAATAATTTGCATTGACAGCACCAGTCAATATTTGATATCACTTCTAATGCACTGTGCATGAACATTTCTTTTCCCCTCGGATCTTTAGCATGCCCAAATGCATTCTTAATCTATTGTAATGCATTCACAGAATTGTGGAAAGGTATACAAAAGCAAGCTTTTTTTTATCATCCTGCAGAGCACCAAGCATTGTGTTCATCGATGAGATTGATGCTCTTTGTCCCAAACGGGAATCTGGTACCTCCAATCAAGAGGCAAGGGCGGTGGCCACACTGGTGTCTCTCATCGATTCATTGCCGGTAAAGTTGTATTGGCATTCTTGGGCACTGTATGGTATGTAGTGTGTTACGATCAGAGTGCTGTTTGCCATGGCGTTGCATGTTTGCCAGGATTGCCTGGCACTTGTTCTGACATCATCTTTGCTACTTCTATTGTGGATAGCTGCAATAGCTACTCCTTGCCACGAAATTCTCACACTGATGAAAATATGACGTATAAAGAAAATGCACAGCGTAAAGTGATAAAGGGCACTTAAATTGCACAAAGCTACTTTCGTATTTAGTATTTCGACTTCACACAGCTTTCAGAGACACATTTTATGCTCACAACTTTTCAGTGACATTGTCCACTCGCACCTGCAAATATTCAGTCCAACCAGCATCAAGCAGAATAGCTTATGGGTTGCTGTGCATTATAATTTGGCAGTTATCAGGCCACTGCATCATAGGACAGGCAAAATTATTATGTCTTTTAAACAAAATAAGTTTCACTAGTTGGTGCTGCATATTTATTTCTTGCAAAAATTCAGCCCCCAGAAAAACTTGGACAAGAAAAAAGTGTGTGTGTGTTTCCCTTTCTTTCCTGCCTATGTTTTTTTTTTGTGCACTGTTTTTAATTAGAAAACGTTTTGCTTTTCTTTCTGCTCATGACCTGTTTCACTAAATCTACACTATTATTTCGTGCTTACTCTCATGCAGAAAGTAGTTACCTGACTCGGGAGCGCCAAAATTTCTCATCTTTTTTTCCAGCTCGTCGAAGACAAGTGGGTTTTAGTGCTGGGTGCCACGAACAGACCCAACTTTGTTGACCCATCCCTGCGACAGCCGGGCCGACTTGACCGTGAAATTGAGATCGGTGTGCCCACAGCACACGGACGGCAGCAGGTAATACGAGAGATGGAACCTGAGTAATTGCTAGATCTAAAGCCTGCAGCAGTCGACTGTATTCTAGCCGCTTCGTACATGGCACATTTGCAGAGCACTTTCATTCACCCTGATATTTCCTCCTTGTTAAAAAAGCAATTTTTGTATTGACTCTTTTTCCGAGAAGCCCACATTGTAGTTTGTAAGTGCAGTTTTATTTTTTTTTTTTTTGTCTCGATTCACACGAGGCTGTGGTATAAACATTTACAAAACTGCTTACTATATGGTTGTTTACTTGATTATTTATAGCACCCTCAGGCCCAGCGACATTTTACAGGGGATTGAGAAAAAGTTCAAGATGAAATGTCACGAAAGAATTTTCTGGAAAGGAGCATATCTCTTTCACAATAGATTACTGATGACTTGGTAATTTATCTGAATAACCTCTTGGCCACCTCGTCCAATGAAGTACATTCATAAGGTACATGACTAATGATTAGTTTTGTAAAATGAATTTTCAAGAGTGCATGAGAAACAGGTGAAAGAGAGAGGTCATGATTCGAAATCGGAGTATCGCATTATTTTTATAAAATCAGTTGGTTTCACTTACAATGGCACCAGGAAAGGCAATTGCATCCTCTGTTTGCCAAATAAATTCTGCAAAGAATAGAAATGATGTAAGTTTTCAAATGCCAAGATTATGTGTCGTCAAGCCAAAATCATGTGTATTGGGGTTCCAAAAAAGTTTTTTGTGCAGAACAGAACAATTTAATAGTTTGTGGTAGAAAGATGGTATGCATGATCTTCTTATTTGAAGAGCAAGCTAAGCACACACATGTTTACTTCATTCGATGCTGACTGTTTTCAGATTCTTCAGAAAATACTGAGTAATGTCAATCACTCACTAAGCAACGAAGACATCACAGAAATAGCCGATGTTGCCCATGGTCTTACAGGAGCGGATTTAGCAGCTGTTTGTGCTGATGGTAAGCCTGCGTTGTTGTCCATTTGCACTAGCTCTATTGACGTCATCAAAAAAAAAAGTGATGGTTGCCTATTCTCTTTTCTCATTGTAATGCAACTCAATCTGAAATTATCAGAAGTTTGCAGAACTACAAATGACAATTTTCGCCGTGGTGATTTCAAAGTATCACATTCTTATTAAGCAAAGGCGTCTATGATGAGCAGCTGTACAGTAAAGGTTAGGTACATGTCGTTTCATACGTTGTTGAGCAATTGTGAATTGCCTGAATCTTTAGCACTTACGAAACTGCATTACATTCTTTACTGCTTGCAGCTGCCCTGCGTTCTCTGGAAAGAAACATTGCAAGTAAGAATGCTTCTGACGCCGCCTTGTCCAAAGTTGTGCAGTTGACAAAAGCCGATATGGCTACTGCACTGCGTCATACCAAGCCAAGTGCAATGCGTGAAGTTGCCTTGGAAATTCCGAAGGTGAGTGCTGTTATAAGTAGGTACAAAAACACTAAAGCTTCATTAGTGCAAAGTCACTGTGAGTGTGAAAAATCGTCGAATCAAGTGGGTTTTCGGATTAATGAAACATACAAAATTTTTGAATTGCTGAAAGTAATTGGCATTGATTATTTGATGTGCTTGCTAGTTTGCAGCTCCGAGGGCTATCATGGTATACAGAAATACTCAGTCCCGGTTTCGCCGCAAACCCGAGGAAGTGGCAAGCCTCACTGCTGTCAGTGCAAAAAAAAAAAATTTGCAGTTTTGCAAATTGCATTTTACAGTTTTGTAAAAATTGAATCTGCTAAAAAGAAGACAAGCTTCACAGCCGCACAGTGGTGAAACGTGGGCAGCATGTCGCTCGCTCATCACAGTGTTACTAAGTCATGATGCGACCATGTCCATTCTTTTTGGTAAAGTAAGGAATTTATTAATGGCCAGTGGGACGAAATTCGCAATGTGTTTTGGCTGGAATACAGGATCATTGAGGTTTCTGAACTGAGTTGAAGTAGGCATTCCAGGCAAGAACACGATCAGCAGTGCAAGTAGGCAGATTGCCAGGGCAGCCGCCAATCGGAGGTTCGTATATTGCGAATTCCGTCAGACCGTTCTTTATTTTGTGTTGTTTCTTCAGAAAGAATGGATAAATCATGACGCATTGATATTGCAAAAAGCATGTGACATGCTGCCCGTGTGTCGTTGCTGTATCGCAGTGAGGCACGTTTTTTTTTTTTTCACATATGCATATTTTAGTTGTTCACGAGACTACTCTTATGTATTCTTCCTATCTTTCTTTTTTGCTGGTAGCAGGGAGGCTGGTGAAGTTCAGATGTTGCTCATTATTACAGCTGCACTGCACTGCCTCGTGGCTCCTAAGGGCCATCGTTATCATTGACTTGGGGTGACATCGGGAATCACCACATAGCACACATATTAAGTTTCCAATTAACCAGGCTGGTGTTGGCTGCCGCTTCAAATTATCTACTCATATTTACATTGTATATTATTGGACCACAGGAACATATTTTGCGATCCTATTATAATTTCAATATAACAGACTTTGAATTAATGAGGCTTTACTGTAGTCCTGTAACACTTTCCTGTCCGCAGGAAAATGAGCAGTTTTCGAACGGTCTAGTTAGCAATTTTTTATTGCTACACCAAATGTTTTATATTACAATGTATAGTATCAATTGGTAGCAGAAGCATTGTGCTTTCTAATGACATTATTTTCAAGAAACATTTATTAACATTTCTTGAAAAAAAAAGTATTTATAACAAGGAACGTGAAAACTTCATTCTGCTTTGCACCAACACAACCTAAAAAAAAGTTCCAAATATGCATTTTAAAGGAGGAGGCTGTATACAATATTACTGCAAATATGAACTTTCTATCTGTACAAGTTAATTTTATACAAAAGAAAGTGTTAGCCATAGTAGCTATCCTGCCACCTCACAATGCAGTTGTGTGATGTGGTGAAACCCAAGTTTGCAAAGCATGTCTTCCAGGAAACGTCTGTTTTTTGTTCAACTTTCCGTTGTGGATAGCACAGTCCGCAGTTCCTTAGCTTCTAGAGTGGATTAGACGTTGATGTGCTTCAGCAGTGAAGCTACACGATGCAGCTTGCCATGAAACACATCAGTTGTCTTCTCGGGGGTTGGACACACTGAGGAATGCAAGTAGTGCTTCGAATTGATTTCTCGGCATTACCAAAGGTGGAATAAGGCCATTTCTGCGTGCTCCAATAGCAGTTGAATCACGACAATTGTAACATACGTAAATGAGATGACTGATAAACTCTTTTATCTCATCGAGAGTCGCTTCCTTCCATGATCCGTCTCTCTGACTGCATGACTGCTTCTCCAAAATGTGCATCCATGCATATTTATTGGTCATGTTGCATATCTCTGTGGTTATTCCTTTTGTGAAGAACAGCGCAAAGAAGTCCATGGCTTTGACAAAGCGCCTCGCGGCACTGCGGAGCGCTATGCCGAAATCAACGTCTGGTCGTCTTCTCGTGCAAAACTCCACTCTTTGTGCCGTCATGTGATCCTGTCCGAACTATGTTGACACCCTGCAGATAAGAACTGCGACCTTTAGAACACGCCGAATGTCTTTATATCTGATCACCACTGTAATGAAACGGTTTGGAATAGGACAGGAAACTTACCGGCAGATACCTGTCCACGTTCCCAGGCTACTTGGCGCACTTTCAACATCTGCACTAAGGTCTGATGAATCAGTCATCTGCTGACTCTCCGCTGCTAGCACCATTGCAGTATTCTGATGCAGATTCATCAGAATTCAATGAAATCCGCCGTTTTCAAGGGGTAGCTAGGCGTGACGTTGAGGCCATGTTGTAAACTACGGAACGCTCGTGAAGCACGATGAAGCACGATTAAAAGACGCCTTAAACATCCTCCTGCGACGATGAAAGAAAACACAAAAGCGAAAGGAACTAGAAAACGAGTTCTTCTATGCACTGGATAGCGCTATCCGTTTGTAAGCACACCGAACAAGATAAAATTTTAATTGAAAGCATCGGCGACATACGGTCTATGAGTATAGGCAAGGACAGGAAAGGGTTAAGGAATGTATAAAGAAAGAGAAAACGGTAATATGTAAAACAATATTGAACGCATCACTGCAGAAACATCAAGCTTCAAGGCTACCACGAGGCCTAATGTGCTAAGTCTTATTTGGTTTTTAGGTGCGCTGGAGCGATATCGGAGGAATGAAGGAGGTGAAGCTGAAATTGCAGCAAGTCGTCGAATGGCCGTGGAAACACAGGGATGCCTTTATCCGCCTTGGAGTGACACCTCCATGTGGAGTGCTACTCTACGGTCCACCTGGCTGTTCAAAAACTATGATAGCCAAAGCACTGGCCACAGAGAGTGGCCTCAACTTCATTGCAATTAAGGCAAGGCTGCATGCAATGTTTAATGTTACAATCAGTACAAAAAGATTATATTTAGTTGAAGATACTGCAGAAAAAAAAAATATCTGCTGGATGCTTTAGTATAAGCCATGTGGCATCACTGATGCGATCATGCATTAAAACCAAGAAATGATATGCCTTTGGCAGTCATTCAAAAGTATGTTGAAACACGGATAGGCTCCAGGGTGATTTAGACGAAGACCAAGGAAACCCACAGAACACAGACTTCTCTTTGGTCTTCGTCTAAATCGTGCTGGAGTCTATCCGAGTATGTACCATCTTGCCTAAGTCAAAGTGCTCTTATGTTGAAACAGTAGCCAGCATAGAAAAGACGTATGGCATTCTTTGCTATGCTGCTTTTGCCGCGGTGAAAGCCTGAAGACAAGGCTTGTGCAAGTATTCCAGCACTTCAAATATTCGAATGAATATTACCGTATTTGGATGTGCTTCGAATTTATATTATTGAAAATTCCAGAGTGTTTGAAATGTACGAAGAAGTGCATATAACCGTAAATTGCCCAGCATGCGCCCCCTCCTGTTTTTTGGGGAAATCATCCCTGCCCTTTAATCTGGTCAGGTTATCCTTCACCGCGGTGGCACAGGGGGTGCCCTTGCTCGGCATTTTATGGTAGTTCACAAATACCCCCGCCTCCTTCACTCGTGAAAAGGCGGTTTCATTGCAGTGGGGAGATGCTGTACCGTGCATTCACCTTTAGAGGGTAAATCTACACTGCTGCGAAGCCCTACTTCAGGGCTAAATGAACATGTTACTCCCACATCAACTTGTCATTTTTTTAAATTTTAAAAGCTTGTTATGCCTGATTTTATGCTCTAAGTATAGTAAGATTTAAAACGTAATGTATTTTACAGATTATTTGCATTCTACTGAAAGTCAAATCCTGCTACTATTCAAAGTTGCTTCCACTTCCTTCAAACTAAAAAAATGACATTTTCACATGCTTTATTTCAATTTAAAAAACATTCTAGAGGTTAGTGCAGTCATGACAAATGTACTTGTTCTTCTTTATTATATGTGATATGTACTATTCGAACTTTATTCAAAATTACTTGAACCAAATCAATATTGCTTATAAATTCGCTTCAAACCTAAAACCTGAAAGCCTACTGAGGACCCTTTTTCTTTTTTCTGTAACAGCATTAATGTGCTTTGCAGGGACCAGAACTGTTCAGCAAGTGGGTTGGTGACTCTGAGAGGGCTGTTCGAGATCTCTTCCGCAAGGCGAGAGCAGCATCGCCCTGCATCATATTTTTTGATGAGATAGATGCCCTGGCGGTGCACAGAGGAAGGTGAGCTCTGCACTGATTTCATGCCCTGTTTTGAATGTGCTGCGTGATGTCCTTATAAGGCATTTCATCCATTGATGTGTCATGTTTATCGCACATGCAGAACAGTCTAGTGTAAACCCCCTAATCTCTGTTCAAATCAATACAGTCATACCTGCATAGTATACTATACTCAACTCTTATATAGACAAAATATGCCTATTTGAAGCTTACTTGAAAACTCAACAAGACCCAGACCTTCTTATGATGGGAATGTTAAAAATGGGAAGTTGCCATTTGCTTTTTCAAGGCTGTAGTGCTACCACGGAAATTTATTCATTTTCAGTCCCTGCCTTCATGTCAAACCAATTGTTTGCAGTTTGAAGTTAGTAAGGACACTTATTTCTGCAGCCCATAAGAGAGCATGGCGCAGTGTCGTCGAGGATATCGGGAAGCAGTGGAAAATAGAAGATAGTGAGAAAGAGAGGCCACATTCTCAAGACAAGTACTAAAAGCACCGACTTCCAGGTCAATGTACGCCTCTCTTTATTAGAGGAGCCGGCGGGTGTAGGGGAGCACTAGGAATCAGACCCAGGAGTACCTCCCGCATTGGAGGCAAATGCTTCATCATCTGACCACTGTAGTGGTTGATATCATCACAGGTGCTGTACACTGTACAGTATACACTGTTTGGTGCTGTACACTGAAGCACTGTGTGCTTCAGTGTACAGCACCTAATTCTTCCCAGTGTTATCATTCTACACTGCACTACATGTCTGTGCTGTGGGAAACTTATTGAGCATCATCATCATCAGCCTAACCGAGCCCACTGCAGGGCAAAGGCCTCTCCCATGGTTCACCAATCAACTTGATCCTCTGCTTTCTGCTGCCATATTATACCTGCAAACTTCTTAACCTCATCTGCCCACCTAACTTTCTGTCTCCCATCCACATGTTCACTCTCTCTTGGAATCCGGTAAATTACCCTTAATGACCAGCGGTTATCCTGCCCATGCGCTGCATGCCCGGCCCATGTCCATTTGTTCTTCTCGGTTTCAACTGTGATACTGTTAACCCCGGTTGGTTCCTTGACCCACTCTTTCTTCCAGTCTCTTAAGGTTACACCTATATTTTTTGTTTCCAAAGAAACATTTGTGGTTTCTTAAACGAATTTCTTCGTTTTCACAGCTGGCCCAGGCTGTCGCACAGCTTGTCATAGGTGTCCCGGAATAGGGACCCACCCCATTTTCTGCACATCTACATAAAATACTTTTATAAATAGTATCAAGCTTCCTTTCAAACTTTTGTGAATCTCGTTTGTCACTGCCTATTATACACTCATGACTTTACTATTGCTTTACTGTTACTCATTTACTTTTATTCATTTGTGCAACAATACAAAATTGTCATGGTGCTTGTGGCAAAAGCTGACATTGAAAGAAACGTCACCTTTGAAATGAACGTCACAAACATGCTTCTGTATTTTATACATACCAGCTGCCTTATCAGCATTCCAATGATCTTGCAGTGCTTTGTTGCTGGCTCTGCTTAGTGATGGGACATCAGCAGCACTCTGGTTATATACAATTGTTCAATGTTGTAATTGTTGGTGCAGCACAAGTGGCAGCAGCAACGTGGGAGACCGTGTCATTGCCCAGCTGCTCACAGAAATGGATGGAATCGAGAAACTGGAAGATGTCATCTTGGTAGCAGCTACAAATCGTCCAGACATGATTGACCAGGTAGGTATTTGTACTGGCGCTCAGTAAGACTACTACGTATGAGCCATTCACCAATTTCCAAAAATCATGCATCCTTAATTTTTGTCATATCACGTTATAACATGGACAACAGCAATCGAAAACCTCCTCTGCAGGCCCTTATGCGACCTGGGAGATTGGACAGTATTGTGTATGTGCCACTGCCTGACTTTGACACAAGAAAGGAAATTCTGCACTTGAACCTTTCGAAAAAGCCTTTGGGAGATGATGTGGACATTGAAGCCCTCACAAGTAAAACCAGTGGCTACTCTGGAGCAGAGGTATGCTCACAACTTATTGCATACAGCTGGAATATATAGTACATGCAGGTATGATAGTTAAAAACCTCAACAAAAAGAAAAAAAGCCATCTGTGTTGTTAGCGGAAACGTGAAGAACCAAGAAGTATTTTTCGTGTCATCAAGTATACTGAACAGTAAGTGTTGATATGTTTAATCATAATGAACTTTCTAGAAATTAAAAAAAAAATACTTGAAACTTCTTCGTGTTACTCATAACAAGCGACGGCATGAGTTTCATGAGCATAGAAGCCTTTTTTTTTAACCTCATGCATAATAGCTACGACAATGTATATAGAGGACAGAAGTCCAGAAATATTGCTTAACCTCTTTGTCTTTTTTCTCTTCTCTGTGTTTCTATAAAAATAAATCTGGAGTTTTCTTTTTGAGCTGAAATAGCAAGCTTGTTGCAAGGTTCACTTTCCAGGGGTTCCCCTACTAGCACACCGTGCATGTTACTCGAATGTTTCTGCATTCTGTCTTTGTTGGAGTGTAGTCATTGCAACTACAATAGAATTGGAAGCCTCATGCTCAGCTGCATAATACGTGTCAATCAGTTGACTACCACAGTGAGTATCAAGAGGCCTAAAGAATTACTGTATGATGCATAGTTACAGGAGGTAATAACCAGGTACTAATGGTACTATTACACAGGGTATCAAGGGGCCTAAAAAATTCCTGTATGATGCACATTCAAAGCAGGTAATAGCCAGATACTAATGGTATTGAACTTGGCATGTAAAAAAATTGCAATGATGGTGCAAGCATGCATATCACTTCCTGCTCGTATTTTGTCTTTGAACTGCAGCATGCGCAAAAGACAGAGGACTCAGGCAAGTGAACAACTGCGGCTTGCATCCTTCATCTTTTGTGCGTTCTACATCTTAGGCATGAAAAGCCACCAACATTCAGATTTACTGCAGTCCTCTTGTGAAACATGTTCTGTCCTTTCTGGGAACTTGGTATATATATTTGGAGTAAGGCAGAAAGTTTGGCACGTTGGAACTGGTGCATGCTTGAAAGAACTAGCTCAAAGAGGACAGAGAACACAGAAGGCCACAGGAAAAGCTCTGTGTAACAACTGAAATTTATTAAGCTAGAGTGAACTTAAGAAAAACCAACACAGTGAATGTGCAGGAATCTAGATCATGTGCTAGAAATTTCTTAAGATGCTTACTTCATCAAACGAATAAACAGAAGGTTTAGATATACAATCATTTCGTATCATTTTGATGAAGAGTGCTTTCATGAGTTCCCTAGCCCTTTCATGCTTGTGCTTCAAAATAATGACAGCTGTGAAAAAAAAGCTCACACCCGCATGACCTGCAGTGAACAGATTGATGCAAGGCCTACATGTGTTTCTGTGCTGTGAAGTCATTCATTGATGCAGTTGCTTGTTTGTCCTATGTATGCCTCTGGGCAGGAGAGGAACTTCTGCAAACACCACCAACAGCACAGAAAATGGCGTGCTGTGATGCTTTGCCAACCCTATACACTCGTGTAAGGGCCGCACCGGCCAAGTCCTGTTATAAAGGTGCAGTTAGTTCGATTGTGGCCAGATGGCATTGCCAGTTTCCCTGCTTCCGCCGTTGTGCCGGTGACAGGCGGGGCCGCGCCATTTTTACTTTGTGTGGTGCATCGCTCATATCGACTCAATGCGCTTTCGTCTATATGGTGTCTTTGAGCCAGTGCAAGTGAGGGACGATGGGCTGGCATTTTCGAGGTTGTGCACTGCAGGATTCAAACTGAAAGTGATTGAATATGCCAAGGAGCACAGCAAGCGTGAAGCTGGACACAAGTACGATGCAGATGAGAAGCGCAGGCATTATCGGATGAAGCAGAAAGATGCTCTCGCTGCTACCAACTGGAGCCGAAAAGTTTTTGCGGAAAAAAGTGCAAATATTCAGAACTGGAAGGTGAACTTTTCATATAGTACTTCATCGATGCTCGAAGGGACGGCTATGCCGCATCAACTAATATGATACGTGTGAAAGCCCTAAACATCGCTCGCCACACGGAAATCCCTCAGGCACAATTCAAGGCAAGTCGGGGATGGGCTACGCTGTTTATGAATCAAAACCAGCTCTCCATCCGCAGCCGAATGACGATTTGTCAAAGGCTCCCAAGCGAGTATACAAGTAAGGTGATAAAATTCCATTGTTTCGTGAATGGACTTCAAAAGAAGCACGAATATGACCTCTCCCAAATTGGTAATGCGGACCAGACTCCTGTGTGGTTCAACGTGCTAGAGAACACCACAGTGGACTTAAAAGGCGTGAAAAGTGTGACTGTGTGCACGACCTGCACAGAACGTCAAAGGTGCACTGTGATGTTGTGCGTGATGGCAGGAAACTTGCGTCGTGCATTGTGTTCAAAAGAAAGACTCTTCCGAAAGAGAAGTTCCCCGAGGGCATCATTTTGCGTGCCCAAGAAAAGGGTTGGATGTGCGAGGAATTTGTCTTGGACTGGGTAAAGACCATCTGAACAAATGGACCTGGAGGCCTGCTACAGCGGAAAGCCCTCCTTGTTCTGGACAGTTTCAGGGGCCACTTGAGGGACCACATCAAGAACAGACTCGCCACGACTCGTACACACTTGGCCATTATTCCTGGAGGACTGACGAGTGTGTTGCAGCCGCTCTACGTGTGCAGTAACTGTCTATTTAAAGCGGAATTTCGCCACTGCTATTCGGAATGGATGGCTGGGGGTAATCATGAGAAGACGCCGACGGGACGGCTGAAGCGAGCATCGTTCCAACAAGTTTGTGAGTGGGTTTTGAGTGCGTGGCAAGCTGTGTCATTTGAAGCAGTCGCGAAAACCTTCAATGTAACTGGAACTTCAAACTGCATGAGCGGCGCTGAGTATGATCATCTCTGGGAGGACGCCGATGGCAAGGCGAATACTCCCAATAGCGAAGACAGTGAGAGCGAAATCGAATTTAAAAAAAAGATTCCTGGCTAGTCATTTGTGGCTCTTTCACTCTGCTACTGTAGTGGGAATGGTACAGACCTTTGGTGAGCTGTCATCGGCGTGATTCTTATAGGGCCACATTAAGCAATAATTTTGAACAAAAAAATTCACACGAGTATATCTGAAATTGCTGCTCCTCTAGCCACCCTCTCAATTGCAGCGCATGCTTTTCCAACATTTAGGTTCGAGGAAGAAAGAGCATCGACATGTATGTAAGACTTTTGCTGTGTTCTTAAATCGATTGGACAGTCTGTGTACATAAGCCATAACAGCGTGTCTCTTTGAATTCTTGTTTATCTTGCACAGTTGGTGTCTGTAAGACGACATTTACACTTCACAAATTTTTTAGACGCCAACACAAGCACGTGTGCAGGATACCCTGTTCTGCTTAGCCGAGGAACCTGCTGCTGAAAACTACCATGAAATTTGTGTAAGCAAGATTTCTCGAGGGCAAACTCTAGCGAGATTATATCAATGGCATTCCTCGTAATTTTAGAATGACCAGAAGGGTAGCTAAGCATAGCCTTATATGGGCCTTGGAACGCTTTGTCAAGTAATCAAATCGCTACATTAAAGAAAGCTTATTTCCTTTCGAATCGACTGCTGCTAAATTTTTAGAATCCGTCAAGTATGAGCCTGTTTTCTCTCTATTTTCATACCAGTGAGAATGCTGAAAGCTACACAGCAAGAGGGGTGACAAGTGGCAGGTAGATGCGTCCCTTCGATAGCAAGTGTCATGACATTGAGCACTTTTTCGTTGCACGCATGGCTTACTTTCAGTGTGATCCATTGGCAGCACCTTGCCATGATAACTATGGAGGTATGATGCCAATATAGGCCAATGGCTGTCGACTTGGCTATATAGCGCAGCGATTTAGGTATGTGGCATCATTTGTAAAGAGGGAGCGATTTCTATCAGACTCTGAGAATTAATTGTAAGTTCCGGGCCACGTGCTGCGTTATTAAGTTTGCCTTGTACGTTTTAAGGAGCCTCTACTACCGATCAGCAGCATTTGCTGAACATGGTGAAAAAAGTGTTGCAAGGGCCCTTTAAACACTTTACAAGGAATGCCGACCTCACATCAATCTGCTCATTGCAGGCCTTGTGGATCTAATACTTTTTCGATAACACTGTCATTATCTTGAAGCACAAGCATAAAAGGCTTTTAAAACTTTTATAAGCCTTCTTCGTCAAAATGATCGCATTGTTTGTTTGCCTAAACTGCAATGTATGCATGTTTAGCAATTTTTCCCATGTAACCTAGAGTCTTACTCACACATAGTGTTGGTTTTTTGTACATTCACACTTGTTTAATCAATTTGAGCAGTTAGAAAGCACCTGTCCTGCATCTTTCTTCTGCGTGATCTTCGTCATGTTCACATTTTTTTTCAAGTGTGCTCATTTCGGAATGTTGTAAAAGCAGTCAAAGCTGAAATGTTTTCAATTCTTTCCTCTTTTACTGTTGGGGGCGCTTTTACAGCTAATGCCATCTTCACTTCTTTGTTTTGCTCAAAACAATTGGTTGTGAAGATGTTCCAGTCAATCAGCTGCTATACATCATTGTGACAAGAAGTCTTTGCGAATCCTTACTTCTATGCATGAGAAGTCTTTTTTGAAAGAGTTCACAGAGCTGCAACACTATATAGTAACTTAAGGTCTGAAAAAAAAAAAAAAAAGCTGCTTTTATTCATTGGCAAAAATGCAGTTCTTTAAAAGGCACAGTATCAGAGTAGCAGTATGCTATATATAGTTTGAAGATGTGCTAATGATATATGGTGAAAATTAATCTTGTCACTCGCTGAAACACAGGATAAAGCTTTTGTGGCGGCATTTGGCACTATGCATTTTGTTAACTTCCAGACACTGAAAAAGTGCTACCATACCTTTCACATCTGCCACAGCTGCTGCAATACATTGTCAATTTGCAAAATAGAAAGGATAAAAGCTCCTTTAGGCATACTTCTTTTAGGCTTGATCAATGCCAACAGCTAAATAAGAAATAGTTCCCATACAGTTAATTATTTCAACTTGATGCCACATGCCCAAGTTTGACAGTTACGTCAGCTGCCAAGGACACTTCAAGGGCATTTGTAGAGCCCTACTAGGGGCTGCTGGTGCAAGACATGACGATTGTCACACTATCTGCCAAGGTATTCTGTCACGGCTCGCAACGTTTCAGCATGCTATTTTTGAGCAACTTTTGCTTGTACTTTCCTGTTAGCACCTTAATTAGCACTTCCTGTATGACAGCACTTTTCATTCGTAACTAAGAAGTCGTACTTGTGCAAAGTCTAAAAACAGTACACCGGTGTCACTCAACAGGTGGTGGCCGTCTGCCAAGAAGCGGCGCTGCTCGCCCTCGAGGAAGACATCGATGCCACATGCATCGAGGGTCGGCACTTGGAAGCGGCACTGAAGCTCATCCAGCCGCGTATCTCGCCAGAGTCGGTGCAATTCTACGAGTCCTACTGGGCGTCTTCTCAGAACAGGCACGCATCAAGAGAGTCACGAGTGCCGTGCTCATCTCTTCGCCTCGGAGGAAGGGAAACCACTGGCAAGTTTCTCTAGCAGGTCTGGTTCTCGGGCACAACTCTCAGTCAGCACTTGCGGTCCACTGCCGGTCATGAGTACATCATCTTCTATGCGCATGCCCATTCCACGAAATTTCTTGGCGACTTTAGTGTTGCTCTCTGGTATGTAGATACCTGAAAAAACAAAAGGATATATTGTGAAAAGAAGTTTGGTCACAGGGGTGCAACATTTAGTATGTACATTATCTGTAATGTAGAGCAAAAAGTCGCCAGTATGCCTAAACTTCTCGCATTATTGGAGGCCTACAATGGCCTTAAAGCACAATTCAGCATGGGCTGTTAAGCCTTACATGCACTCACGAAGACGTGTGTGGAAGCAAAAATAAAGCAAATGAGGTCTTCATGCATTTTAAAGAACAATGATGCTCTGTACAACACAAATTTCCCACTATATTTCCACCTTAAACATTAGTAAGGAAGCTCGTGACATGAAATACATGCTTGTACTTCAACTTTTCACCATCAACATACATTAAAGGGGCCTTCCAACACTATTTAAGCATCTATGTTTTATTTGTGGTTTGACCGATAGTTCGGGATAATTTAGCATAGGTCCAAGCGCCAATATCAAATGATTTAGTATGTTAATCACGCGATAAAGTCACTACATCGCTGCCTATCGCATCACCACGTAGTGACGCTCGCCAGAACTTTGCGGGCAAAGATGACGTCGGAAGGTTCCTGCCATATGATTGGATAAATGCAACGTTAGAAGCAATCGTGGTATAGGACGAAAACTGAGGTTATTATAATCTTAATGTTTCATGTTCACTAAAGCAGAACACACATGTGCATGTTTTGTACGCTGTGCAAAAACTGCTTCCCTAGAAACTATTAGGCGCCATATCTGGTAGATATTAATCAGCATCTGTTAAACAACTCTATCGAGCTAAATGTCTGCTGCATCAGCAGCTTTAGAAATGCTTACAACACTGTGACCATAGGAACATTAGCTACGAAGAAAAAAATATTACACAGTAGTAAGGATTAAGTATGTTGCCAAAGAGGTTCCCCCCCTCCCAAGAATATGACAGAACAGCAGCACCATATGCTAGCCACATGTGTAAAGGTTAGCAATGCAAGACAATGACAGCAACATGTTTGTCTTATATCAATAAAACCAACGTTTATAGAATTATAAAGAAGTATTGTTGCTACACAAGTCGATTTTGAAAATTTTGCTTGGTAAGAAGAAATACATATTCAATGACCTAAACTTCAGTATTGTTTTTTAATAAAGAAAGCCTTATTACTTCAATTATGAGGACTATAGAACATTTTTAAAGAATGAATTTCACCTTGAACACTGTTTCAAGTTTGAAATCTGTAAATTAAGTATGCTAGATAGGCATTATGCTGATAACCACTGTAACAACTGCATGCTGCACAGTTATGCTTTGTGCATGATTTACCTGGTTCCACGGTGAGCACGGAACCCGGAGCAAGACGCAGGCTGCGAGGAATCAGGGGTGTGTCGTGTACGTCCATACCCAGGTAGTGGCCCACATGGTGTGGACAAAGTTTATGAGCTTCCTGCACACAGAAAACGCAGTGCAAGTTGTCAGCCTCGAAATGTGTTGAAGTGTTTGCTATTTCATCTTTGCTACAGCACACCCAGGATGAGAGGTCGTATTTCAGAGTAAATCTGGGTACTTCCAATCGTACACCTGGCCACAATGATGAAAGCGATCAAGAGCAACGCTTGGATTTTTCACATCACCTAGTTGCAGCAGATTAACTTTCACAGATCAAAATATGACATGATCCCACTGCTAAGCTCTCAAGTTTTTCACCAGTGTATCTTGAGCACTGGATACTTCGAGCTAAGTTCTTCCCATTATAGCCATTAATACTTGTCTAGCATCCAGCCAAAGCTGAATAAGTTGTAACTGCAGAATTCTTCCCCAATTCCCTAGTTTACAGTTGGGGGAGCTCAAAACATTTCTTGCGATGTCTAGGGTTGTGAAGTGACCTACAAATTACACCATATTTGTCGAATTGATGCAGAAAGGTGATCAGTACGCCAGTTACCAATACAAAGCTGGCCGCTTTTTGCAAAAGTACCAAGAGCAAACATCTGCCATCCTGATAAACTTCTGCATGCATTGAAGGTAAATGGCAATATAGCCAAGTTGGTTAATGCACATGTACAAGTAGTGGAAGCACTAAAATGCTTGTGCTACAATCTTTTTAAAATGTACATAAACCTCTGTACATTTTCATAAATGTTTAACATTCAGTAGTGTGATGATGCCATTATGCCTTGTCCACACTTCTGGTAAATGCCAATAAAAAACACTTTCATGTATCCTATCATATTTATTTTCAGGGTTGAAATGTGCAACAGCTTATATTGCTTACTGGTTTTTAAGCATCAAAATGCACTATAATTACACAACTGTGTATACTGTGACGATTTGTATTCAAGCGTCCAAAGCCGTCACATGCTTCCGTGATACGATACACTTGGCAACAACTTTTCTTGGCTGAAAATGCGCTGTTTGGTTAGAAAAAATAATAAACTCGTTATACGTATAACACTAAAATGTACACTCCAACCATTAAAATGTTTCCCACATTTGCATTTTTGATGTATATAATTTTCTAAATCTATCAACAACAATGCAAGCAAGCAAAACCGAAATTGGCCAAAAGGTGCCATACTACTTACAGAGCAAGACGAATGAGTGGAAGCTTTGCCTCTGTAGCCTCCATTCCAATGTCGAGATAAGTTGTCCTTAAGTATAGACCCGGACTGATAACAGACAGCTGACATTCTCAAAGGTTATTCCCAGTCGCAGCTCATTTTTAATGGCAGTAAATATACAGATGCATCTACTGTTAAAGGGAACACCTGCGTGCACATCATGTTTGGATTTCTCTATCTTAGGGATATGTAGCGGCTTTAATTTGCATAAGACTACGGTGGTTCAAAGTTTTGACCCCCTCTTGACAGATAAGCCAAGATCCGTGTTTTAGAGGAACCAATCAAAGTTTATCTAATCCAATCACAAACAAGCTGGCGAAATCGTAGCGCATTTGGTTGAGAACTTAATTTATGATTCAATATTTTTATAAACGCACGAGCAGCCTGAGAGTCGAAAACACAGGCAGACTTACGAGGCATGACTAAACTGTCTGAGCTTGCCTCTGCGTTCGCGGCGAAAGACTTTCTTCTGTGGTCATGTGCTTGTGTGATCGATCTAATTCAGCCTTTTCCAGATTGGCAGCGACTGAAACTTTGGTTGAAGATCGCTGGTACACTCCACACAACACATAACATCACACACGTCATGGCAAGATGGCGGTCACCGGCAACGGGCGCGGTGTATACCCGGCAAGATCTGTGGCTAATTTTGCTATGTAACAGATTTTCACATCTATTTCTCGCTAAATATTGCAAATTGTTGGATGACCGTGTGATGGCCCTTTTAAATGAAGCTGCTTACTTCTGAGACGCAATGCAGGCAAATGCCCAGAGTGCCATATTGCATTACTATAATAATCTATCCTGCGGTCGCTACAACTGCCATACACAAACATAAAGAAACACCAGTCTTGTTTATTTTCTTATGACCAATGCGGTCGTAGCTATTCTTTGTACACCTTAGGAAATACTAATCTGTCTTGCGATATAATAATTTGTGCATAGTACATGAACTAGCTACATTTCCATATTTTTTTCTACAGTTGTGCTTTTAAAAGAACACTTCCACATGATGTACTGAGTATTAAAGTAGATGAAAGAAAAAAAAAACATACTTCAATCTCCCTGCATTTGTGCAAATATGGACACAGAATCTGCAGTTCACAAGGTTTGGCAAACTTTAGCGTAATTGTGCAATTAAAGCTTAAACCTGAAAAGTACTGAAAAAATACTGGAGGGCATTTCCTCCTCTGCAGAACAGTTGCCAAAGCGGAAACTGCTCAAGCAGGAACTCCCACTGTGTCTACACAGGCGTACCATAAGTGAAAGGTTGTCCCTACCTGCACAAGCTCGGAGTCTGGAGTGTGTGGTGACAGAATGCCAGCTTCACGAAGCCGATGTCCAAGCTGGGCACACATGATGTGAAACAGGGCATCCAGTGACATCGGCCCTTCCAATTTTCGTAGCAGTAGCTGCTGGACATCCCAGAGCAGTTCGTATAACTCCCGCTGGCCGGGTTCAAACCGGCCATTCACAGGCCATGTTCGTGTCAAGTCGCTGGTGTAACCATGAAGTTCACAGCCTGCGTAGGCAGTGTTTTGTTCTTTAGCACAAGCCATACATTTTCATTTAGCATGACTCAATCACTCGGATGTTACATGGCTCTCTATATTCATTTATGTCGCAAACATACAGAAGTTTGAGGAAGGGCCTGAATACAGATTATTAAATGAACTGCAATACAGACAGATCTCATCTTCTTTAACCAATTATCATGACGCAGCACTTTTTGTTGCAAACCATACTGCAGATCAGCAAGAGCCACACTTCATGTTTTACCATTCAAAATAAGCTTTCGAAAGCCAACAGAGGAGATGAAGTCATGGGAACCAAGTACATTTCTGTCTTTGCAAGATCAAAAAGCACCTGACATTGCAAAAGTTTATGCTGCTGCTTTCATACCATGTTGAATGCTTCAGGCAGCATCTGCAGCCTGAGCACTTACCCTTTCTGTGAGCCGTTTGCCTGTACTTCCTTCTTTATTGTGGAACAAGCACAAACAGCACGAACGTGATATATCTGCCAGTCTGCGGGCAAGCCTGTTAGCTTGACAAAAGAATTATAATTGCTCTGATATGCTAATCCTTCAACCTCTCCAGTATACGGAGAGCGAATAACTAAAGCACAATAGCACTTCACTGATGAGCTATGCAATGACATGTTTTTTTGCATTAGCCCTCATTCTTAAACCAGTTTTCTGCAATGACTGCATTAATGTTAACACGTTACTTCCTCTAGATTGAATGCTCAGCCATGTGTCAGAAGCAATGGCAATTATGTATGGCAATTATGTAGGCAAAAAGAAAGGAGCGGAGTACACTTTTTGATTCCTGTTAAAGCAAAAGTTGCCCTTAGGAAGCGATATTTGTTGCTGGATAGATGGCTGTTATAGATATAATGCAAATGGTGCAGCAAGCCACGCAAGCAGAAGATAATCGAAGGGGAAAGGGCATACATGCACAACAGTTACATGCAGGCAAGCGAGTGGTACAGTTCCCCTTTCTTTTTTTTATCATACTACTAGTACTAGAGCATTGTCACGTCTGCCATAACACATGAAGCATTTTTCTCGTGTTAGCTGCAGCAGCAGGTAACAAGCAAAGTAGCCTTCACTGAACTTGGAACTGATCGCCTCCAGACATATTTGCTGAGTGATTTCTAATGGAGTGACAATGACCCTTTCAATGTGATCACTGATGTCTCTGCTCTTACAAGTGTGTGCCAATGGCCTTTGGCATAAAAGTACTGCACACCAGAAAACCATACACTTGGAAGAGGCAGGAATGAATCCATTTGGCTATACACTTAAATAACATACGCACAGATGAATTCAATGGTCAATTTTGTCCCAAAATCATGACCACACTGAAAATAAAGGAACACGAAGACGGGACGGGCACATGCGTTAGCAAGAAGTGGGTTTAGATTAGTTTGTTTCTCCAAGGAACAAGCAGTTGCAAGTGAGGGCCCATCCTGTCTATAAATAAATGAACACAGATATTCCCATAAGCAGAAAGCTGACGGGAATATAATCTGTCCATGCAAATAGAGTGCCTTGCTACCAACTTTTGTATGAAAGAGAACTTTTTCAATATATGTGTGCATGACATGAGGGGGCTAGTAAATAGAGCAGCACACTTGCTCCACATAAATGTAGACAGGCTGACATGCTTCTTGCTCAGCTGTTAATGTTAACCCCGTTTTACACTTACCTCCATCCATTAGCACAAGTTCACCATCCAGCACACGCTGGTCGTTGGCCACATAGTGAATGATGTTTGCCCGTGCGCCTCCAGCAACAACTGGTGGGTAGGCGAGTCGTTGGGCGCCACGTATACGACACTCGAACTCCATTTTTGAGTGCAACTGTGCTTCCGTCACACCTGCGTGAGATGCCCGCATCACCTCCGTCATTGCTTCGCACGCCACCTGGCAGGTCTGCTTCATGAGCTGCTGTTCGGCCTCAGACTTGATCAGCCGCATCTTTTGTATGAGCAGCCGAGGGGACTCTACCGCCACGTTGTTCTTGTAACTGTCGGCAAGCCGCCCAAGGATACCACTTGCTTCGGGTCGACTGGATGCTCGGTCATACCAGAGGGTGGTAGAGTACTTGGCTTTCAACAGCTTGTCGACATAGTTTTGAAGCTCCCCTATTTCATAAGCTGCATCTACACCCAAAAGATCTACAGCCCCGAGAGGACCAGCACACGGTCCGTCCCAAAGTTCGGCGTGTGCATCCCGCTGTGGGACAAACATGACCGACTTTGATTCTCGTTGATCTGTGCTTGCATGAATAACCAGAGCACTGTCCGGCTCCTGGAAACCAGTCAGGTACAAGAAGTCGGAGTTCTGACGAAATGGATAGGGTATTTTGTCAGACATGTACGCCTTGGTTGCAGAGAGGACGACAACTGCGTGGTTCTTCGTCGTCCTGGTTCCAGGAGAGCCGGAGAAGGCACACAACTGCAAGATGTCATCGATGAGCTTTTGCCGCCTGTATGCGAACTCTTGGCGCGTCAGGCCAGGTGTGAGCTCGTCTTCGCGGAGTAGGTGCGGGTGCGTGGCTGCCGTCGGCTGCCCATACAGTCGCGGCTGCCGCGAGCCGCACTCTGGCTTTGCCGCCTGGGTCTGACAAAGGCGGTATCCCGCTGCCGCAGCTCGGCCTGGAATGGGAGCAGCAAAAAATTTATTCGATCGTAAACATCTTCTCTGTCGGTGGCTGACTTAGAGATTCGCTAGACTAAGCTGGCACCGGTCGAAGTTTATGGTTGTCCAGAAGCGTCAGGACAGCTTAGAATATTGGCAGGATCCAGTTCAGGCTCGATTACATTATGAGGGCAACAGCTGATTGTTGCTTAACAGAGTCAAGCATTTTCGAGTTAAGGAGTTTGAAACAGGCGCTGCCTAACGCAGGCAGCGGTTTCTTGGGCAGCAAGGCCCTAGTAAACTCGCCCAGCATGCGGTCTCAGTTTCTATCGCCATACGTCTAACTTTTCTAGTTTGACCAAAACACGAAGCATATAATGTCGGACATCTTTCAAAAGATGTCAATGCGCTGAATTTGCGCAGTCGAGCTACCGGTGCCTACGCACACTTTAGCTAGTACAAACCGTCAAAGGACAGAGGGGCACTTTCGACTCACAGGGCAGTCGCGATGAAACGCTGTACCACATGATCAAAGATGACGTTGAAGGGTACTTCTCTTGATAGATAAGACGTCAAAATCTGCTAAGTTTTGAAGGCACCTGGCGGTAGAGTGATAGACCGGGCACACAGCTTCACACCAAGGCGTCGAACTTTAAAAGAGCATTTCCGCCCACAAAAGAAGGGACGGCGAACGGCAAGTGCATCGTATATAAAAGCTAATGACAAACGTTTCTTGCTTAAGCCGTCCACTCTGCAGGTGTTGGCGAAAAAATTTAGAACTTATTAACTGCAGTTGACTAGCGCGTTGTTGTTTGAATACTACTTTGTTTGCTGTTCATAGCGCAGTGACTTTAGCTGACGCTCATAACGTCCATTACGCTAGCTAGGCTTGGCCGCTTTTGTAATGAACATGTGTGGGTAGAGGGCGCTAGCAAATGTCTGAAAGATCGCTCGCCTGGCTCGGGGTCCAAGCGCGCCGCCCCAACCAGCGTGTTGCGCTATCGAGTGCTCAGTTGGCTTGGCGCTTGGCTCTATTCACGAGCGCCTCAGTGGCGGGTGAGTCGAAGGCTCGTGCGGCGCCGATCCATGAATTGAGAGGCCGGGCTCTTGACAGGACGACTTCATCTGGTCGTGACCGGGCAACAGGGATCACGTTGACGACGAATTTCTCCTCAGGTAATTCACGGGCTCCAAGGTTATTATTTGTTTTTAGTAGCTAACTTAGATTCCTCGAAAGTCTGTCCTCAGTCACGTGCGATGTTTCCCTTTCCGTGGCGGACGTCCCACTGACTTTAAAAAAAAAAGAAAAAAAGAAAAAAAACGGCTCTATTTGGAACTTGCTCATGTAGTGACTTCTTGTAAGTCAATTTTCCTCCAATCGTCGTTCAAGTATTTCGTGACATCGTAACTTATTCGAAAGTCTTGATTAGCTTATGGGAAGTTTGGAAGAAGCGTTTACCTATTTTTAATCATAGCGACCGATCCGAATTTCCTTTTTTTTTCAGATTTTCCTTTTCTTTTTTTTTCTTTTTGCGCCCGATAAAGGGAATGGGATCATATCTGGTTGAAGAAATCACGCTTCAGTGGTTCCACTTTGAAATTTTGCAGTCTACGTACATGGTATCCTGTGTAGTAAAGGAAGATAGGCGATGAACACGGTAAATATCACTGAATTGATATTTTTGTTGACTGCTTATCCAATATGCTCACATTTAAGTCAGTTCGCTAATGCACGAAAATTACAGTCCGTTTTGATGAAAAAGCGATATCTTAATAGGCTGCCGGATAATCTGAAACGTATATGAAAGAGCAGCGCGGAAAAACAAGGTACTGAAGAGGAGATTTGACGCGCGTTAACCGCCAAGGGAGGTTAATTTGAAAAAAAAAAAGAGGGGCATCTTATGCGTGGCATGCTATTTCAGTGCAAGTCAGTGGGCACGTGCACATCTATAAACCAATGAACTAAAGCAACGCACACAAGTTCTCCCACGTGTACGCACCTAGTAAAGAGAAAAATGTACGTGTTGGGCACAGAATACTGTCCACCCCTGTCCCGCTGAATGTAAGTAATCTTTAACCTGTTATAATCCCCCCACCCCCCCCCCCCACCCAAAAAAAAAAAAACCGCTAAAATATGGGGCACAACGTCCGTGTTCGAACTATTCATGATGTGAGCGCTGTGCGATCTTTTACTGACAGCGCGTGTTTTTCGTAGACGCGGCAATGAGTTTTCATTGGTGTATTCGTTTCACGGATCTTTTTGGGGACAGTTATATAGAGCATGATCAGGCATATGATGTTTTTGACGCATTATTTTACTAGTTTAACGAACTTCGTTGCGAATACGCTGCATAGTTCTTTAATGTCGCATTGTTTTTAGCTGCTAGCTAGTGTGGGTTGCCGCGTGTTGTAGCGCATCGTCGTGTCCTATTCCTGTGTGCCGTATTATTCGCACCTTCTGACGTCACGAATAAAAAAAAAAAGCTAATGGCTCAACTTTTTATAGGACTCACTTGTCGAGTGTGTTTCTGGCGATCTGCTGGCTTCCATGTTATCAGCAACACTTTCAGAGCCTGACGTATAACAGAAAATATGTTAATGATTTACTGCCCGTCGGTGAGGTATTAAATCACATTAATGCTGGAAGATAAATATTTAGAGAGAAGCCTATCGCCTTTCAGATTGAGCACAATGGTAAGTTTGCGTATGTGCTTTCAGTTATTTGGCGCATGATGTGGCTAATAGCTTCCTTTTTAGCACAGTGATCACGGGCTGTGTTTTCCATCTCCACGATGACTTTCCTATCAACAAGGAAATCTGGGGCATCAGGTTGACCTAACTTACAGCGCGAAATAGCTTTGGAATACGAAAGAACAACGAAATATCAATATGCCTGCTACGATCAGGATGAACCCCCCCCCCCAAAAAAAAAAAAAAATCCACTTCACCCCCCTCCCCCACCATGTTTTGTTTTATTTTTTCTTAAGAGACAGGCGATATACTTTAGGCACAAGTCCACCAAATTTAGGGAGATTACAAGTTCACTACTCTGACATCGTTGTACGTAATTAGAAAATGCCACGCATTTTCAGGACGTGAAGGATGGCGAGTGGGCGAAGTTAAATTCGGAGGTTTCTAACGTCTACGGAGGAGTCACCGGCTAGTGTGAAAGACGGACAGGTGGACGGACGCACTGATGTACAGGTGGGCGGGCAGATGGACGGCACTGGTTTTTGTTTTGTTTTTTCTTGTTCTTGTTTTACAGCTGTGTAGCAGGTGTTACGATACGAGTGTGGACACCGGTACATCGCCGGACAAGGCTATAAGCCCCAAGGAGCACCGCCTCTAAAAAATTGCGAGGCTTCTTTTATGCTCCTTTAACTCACATTGTTGTTTTACGAAACTATCGGACGTCGTGAGCGCGATACCGCACCGCACTTGTGAGCTCCGTGTTCCTCTGCCCGATAGTTCCACTTCATTACAGCTCTTCTGGCACTCTTTTTTTTTTAAACAAAACGCATTTTGACTACCTTGGCGTATCGATAAGCCTGACTCGTATTCCAATATGATTTACCGTTGTAAAGCTCCCCGTAACCGCGCGATCAAGGCTAGTTCGTCTGTGTATTTATCTGGTCAAGCATCGCATATATTGAAGACCGACCGTGTAGGGAGTTCTGCTTCGTAGTTTATAAACCACAGCTTGGCCACGTCCGACAGGTAGACGGAGACGTAGGCCAACTTGGCGGCGTCATCCTATTTGTTTTGAGTACTCACTCGCTCGCACATTGAAATCCAGTCGTCAACGTCCTTGTCTTCTGTGCCTGAGAAGACAGGGAGATCTCGCAGATGCAGAGAACTGGTGCAGAGAACAGTAGGCGGTGCCGGTGGAGTAGTTGGAGTGGCGCTTGCGTCGGTAGGCATAATGGATGGTAAAATGCGATTTCGAAGCTCCAGGGTGATCGAAACCCAGCAGGATCCACCACTTGTAACGGGGTTTATTTGCAGAGCAGAACGCAGAAAGTGAAGCAGTCAGCAGCGTCCGGCCAAACACAGCAAGCACGAGCTTATGCTGATGGCGATGCCCCTGAGGCGCTGAGAAATGCCGCTGAGGCCCCTCTTCTTCACTACACATGTAATAGTAACACACCAAAGTAGCCTAGCGTTTTGTGCGTGTTGATAGGTCACACCGAAGCTTACAGCACACGAAAAAAAAATGGTATAAAGAAAGACGTGAAATGCACAGAATTTGTGTGTCAAGTTTTTCTTTGTCCGTGTTTTTTTTTCGTGTGCTATAAGCTCCACCGTAACACGCCGTGTTCTTTTTTTTTTTTTTGAGTGACTTCTATCTATTTAGCATCTTCATAATCTTATAACCAAGCATATTATCCTGAAATTTCTGCAAAATTGTGTCTGCGCGTCAACTTTTCAAAAGTATCACTTAAAGTGGCTCAACGTTTCTTCTTATTTTCATTATTTTTCTTTGTCGTTACGTCTTTATCAGCTTAAAGTTGGTTGTCTACAATAAGCCTGCTTCGGTACCTGTGTGTTGCATCCGATCTAATTAGGATGATTCATCATTAGTTAGAATGCTTATTATTATTGCGTGACTAGCACTCGTATGCGACCTGCTTACGTATGTTGCGGTGAAAGTGGTTCAGAAATTATTTCGCGTGGCGTCTGACGAACGCATTCTACAAGGTGGTATCCTGGAAAAGTTGTGCAACATTTTTTTCTCTCAACTTTCGGAATAATTGCACGCTATCTCGCTGTAATGATTTTGCAGAAATCAGGAAGTCACAACTTGCGCTACTCCTACATTGAATTGAAGAAACTAAAAACGTTGGTAACGACTGCCTAACCTTTTTCTTGCTTTGTAGAGCGTGCTTCTCTGTTAGGCTATCGCGTCAGCAGAAGCAGCCCAACCGAAAAAAGCGAAGGAGAAGTATGTGGTTGGGGTTTAGAACCCTAACTGTAACCAAGTTAAGATATTTTTCTTTTTAATTGATTATATCAATAATAATAAAGCATATATATATTATAGGTTGCGCTTCAGCATGGAGCAAAGCCTTTAGCGGTGACTTGAGAGTTGTATGGTAGCAAGGTGAACTGAAGGCTAAGGCTATGTGCACGAATAGGCCCTACTCGAGTTATATGCATGGAAGGTGCTATTGAACGGCGAAATGAACGGATGCCTCGCGACGAAAGTGGTGTAAGTTTAAAGATGCTATTATTTCCGGTATGCCGCAATGCGCTGTCGTGCCATCCTTTCTATTAGCGCAGTTGCAGAGTCGTTTGTCACCCGAAGAAAACGATTACACTTTTTCCCAATCTTTCTTCCTCCTTTTATCTGTTTTGCTTTACTACTCTGCTAATACAATTCAGAAGGCATCATAGAAAGTCCCTTTTGTCATTATGCTTGATATATAGGCAGAATGAAAGATGACGAGCTATGTTAGCATTGCTATAAGAGCGGCAAATCACTTTGAACTGTATAATGTTGTTGGCGAAGCTACCGGTATTTTTTTTATACGTTGGTTGTAGTTTTACTACCCATACTGGTACGAATCTCTAGCTCGAGGGAAGTTAGTGGTGCGATTTATTGTCTCGTATTTATCAAGAATGAAAAAAAAACAGTACTTTGTGATCATAAACATATGAACTGTATGTTTCGATCAGGAAGTAATTTTAATCAGTGTTTGCCTCCTGTTGTTTTTGTTTTTTGTTCTGCTTTAGAAATATTCCAACAAATACGAATCCACATGTGAACGTGAGAGTAGTAAATTAACAGAACATGATAATGAATTAATTAATAATTAATGACGCCTTAACAGTGGCATTTGTGGTGGTTTCAGAATGAAT